ACGCTAAAAAGTTTACTTCGATCAACCGTTTAAAAGTTACGAATGACGTTTTAGTTCCGGTTATTTTTTTCGTTTTAGAACGACTTTATTAAGAAGCACGCAAGCACTCATCAATATCAATAAAATGAATTACTTTAATTTACCATAATACATTTCATCTATCAGAAAAAGCGACATTAGAAATGCTAAAACGGTGTCGTTAGCGTGCGAACGTGACAACCGTTAGGAACATCGGATGCAGGGAAATTTCCCTGATCAGCGAGGAACATGTTGAGCGTGACGTCACTTCTAGAATTTCTACACCCACGTGGGCGGATAGAGAAATAGCTGATACGGAAATATAATTATTATAAAAAGAGTGTTTTATTTTAAGAGGTATACAAATTTAAAATGAAATAAAACACGTAAAAATAATGTTAATGTTGGCTTTATTTAAGAGATAATTTTAAGCCATTAATGTATAAACATGATTCCAAGCTAATGGCCGCCACAACTGGCTCGAATGAAGCGCAATCGGTAAGTCCAATTTCCGACCGCTTTATCGAGCAACTGGGGCAGTATAACGCGGCGAATGTTGACTTCCAAGTGGTCCAATGTCTATGGTTTATCGGCATAGACTAGTGACTTCTCATATCCCAAAGTAAGTAATCCATAGGTGTGAGATCACACGATCTCGAAGGCCAGTTCACAGGTTCTTTAAATGTTTCCCGCAATAAATTGATGGCGTTACGCGCTGCGTGGCATATTGCGCCATCTTGTTGAAACCAAAGCACTGCCGCATTAATACCATTTAACTGAGGAACGAAGAAGTAAGCAGTCATGGCTCTATAGTGCTTTCCACTGACGGTAACATTCTGGAATGCATCATCTTTAAAGAAATGTGGGCAAATGATTCCACCAGCCCATAAAGCACACGAAACGGTGACTTTTAATGGACGTAAGGGATTCTCAACAAAGGCTTCTGGGTTTTCTAAACTCCAAATTCGGCGATTCTGCTTATTGACAGAGCCGTTCAACCAAAAATGAACCTCATCGCTGAACAAAATTTTGCGTTGAAAAAGATTGTTTTCGGCCCATTCATTGAACGTACGGCGCGCATAATGGTCACACGGTTTCAACTCTTGCACAAGCTGAATCTTGTAAGCTGGTAAGCCAAGATCTTTCCTCAAAATCTTACACAAAGTAGATGGGCACAGCTCCAATTGTTGTGCACGATGGCGAATCGACACCTCCACGACACTACGCTCCACAGTAGCAATGACTTCTTTTTTGCGCACTGTATGGAGTCTTTGTGGATGCATGTTATCAACTAGAGTGTGCGTGGTGCGAAAACGATCTATGGTTTTTCGAATAACTTGCTCGGATGGACGATTATGTCGACCGTAAAATGGACGTAGCGCACGGTAAGATTGGCGAACTGAAGCATGATTCTCAAAATAAATTTGCACAATTTGCAAGCGTTATTCTGGCGTAAGTCCATTCCTGGTGAAATGGCAAAACGTACTGAAAACAAGTCAACTGTCAAATCGACAGTCACTAAATTTAAATTAAATTAGATACAATGTTGCCAATTCAAAAATAAACATCTGGCAACATGTTTCGTCGGCATGTTTAAACACTAATGTCATAAAATTATCTTTTTAAATAAAGCCAACACTATAGTCATTAACATTATTTTTACGTATTTTATTTCATTTTAAATTTGTATATTTCTAAAAAAATACCTTTTATATTACTTAAAACTAAACTAAAATACTGTATTTACTGACAAATTTAGTTTTTCCCGTGTAGGTTTTAAACATTAACGTCACTTTAGCTCTTTATCCCTAGATATTGTCTGTTGTGTACTCTAACATCAGAACCGAAGCAACAAGTCTCCAGCCATAATTGCATTTTATATCCATTCTTTTCTCAGTATTTTGCATCTCAGGGTTCAAATAGTATGCATTATAAAATTGCAATAAGCTTAATTTTGAAGATAAAAACAAGTTTTAAAAAACAAATTGTAAACGCTAATAACTAGTATATTTCCGTGTTCTCTCCACGTCTGCAATGCCTGAATAGGGCCAATTATCCTTAAAAGTCTTCTCGGAAGGCATTCTTGCAGCTCTTCGCGTGTAATTTCGTATGGTCAAGCAAAAAAGCTTTAGCCAGCTTTTCGGAGGATCACGCAATAACCTCCTTAAAAATAGGTACAATGTCCATTCCCGTACGAGATATGGCAACGACCGCTCTATATTTCCCCATTCCTTGACCTTTAACCACCGAAATTTAATAACCTCAATCTCTTAATTCCAAATATATTTACAAAATTTTAGAAATTTCGACAAAAAGCATGGATGTTTTTACGCTTCAAAAAGAGTAAACGAAATCGTGCTCCCACACACTAATCTCCTACTTATATACAAACTCTCCTTTTTTTTTTCATTTAACGACGTTTGAAGTCCCCTGAGTCTAAAAATATGAAAATCTCAGGAGTCATTTTTTGACTCACGTGGAGCACATTTGCAAAACTTTTAATACAAAGAAGCCTAGGTTGGGTCATGGAGTAAAGATTTCAATGTTATTCTATCTTTCCGTTGTGTCTCTTCAAACACCGTTACATCGTCAGTCTTTTTTCTTAGCTCTTCATCGATCTTTTCTATTTACCTATTTTTGAGCCTAAAATTCGTTCTGATTGATGGATTAATACTTACTTGGAGCCGAGGACAGGTTATTGCACTTCTAACTGGGTCAAATGGAGCTTGTAATTTGTGGTAAATCTGTGGCTAAATATCTAGAAATCCTATAATAATGTCATACATAATAAAACATAACGATATTCGCAATTCTTGAATTTGAAGTTCTCGGGTTCCAGCTCAAATGAATGCGTGCTCCCGAACACTCAACTACTGTACGAAATTATTACACTGGAAATCTAACAACCCTACGACATTTTAAAATAAAAATTCCTAAATAAACGGTCTTATAGGTGTTATAGGAACCCGTGTTATAGGAGAGTCGACTGTATTTATTTAAAAGTTAAGTATCGCTTTTCTTGTCTTTCAAGTTTTTACTGTGTACAATTTTATAAGTACAGTTGTCCCTCTATAGTCCGACGTTTTTTAATCCGACATGCTCAGTAGTCCGACGCACCTCCCGTCAAGGTACCCGTCCCCGTTACGTGTCTGCTTGCACAGAAGCATGTCGCGATGTGAATCTCCCCATCCAATTTTTACACGATGACACACATTTCGTGTGTTTTATGTGAGCAGTTCTGTTCGAACAGTTGGAGTAGAGAATATTGTAAGTTACTGCTAGCAAAACAATGAGAAATATGTAATTATTTTCGGTAATCCGGACACTTTTGGTAATCTGACACACCTTTGGTCCCATACCTGTCGGATTATCAAGGGGCAACTGTATTTCATTTAGAAAGAAGTAACAGTAACTTGCGTAATTTTCGCTGTTTATAATTTTTAACGTAAGTGCAAAGCATACTCCAGTATAGTCTTTTGGATCTGTAGTAATGATAGCGAAAGTATCATAACCACAAAACATGTCTCTATAATTTAAAAATAAAAGTAAAAGTACTTTTATTAGATGAACTATCAATATTTATCTGTATCTCATCTGGTTACTGCTTCTTCTCAGTCCCATCTGTTTTATTTTGTTCACATATTATCAGTTTTATAAATATTTACAAATTTGATAAAATGTACTGTATATAATTTTATCTCAAACTTGACACTATTTGTGGCCCTTTTGATTTTAGTCGTATCAAACTCAGTTTTCTAATACAGTACAGTTAAACCTCAATTTAGAGCCTCCAATTGTTCTCTACGGAGGCTGGCGCTAAATTGTAGGCCCTCAAACAACGAGAAGTATATGTGTATATGTATTAATAGCGTATGTACACAAATATGTGTTTGAGTGCGCAAAATTAAAGTCATTAGGCTGCAATTTGTAAAAATTGTAGACCTATAAATTTGCATTGTTATCTGTGTTTTTTTAATCTCGAGAACGGAGACAGATAAATGAAAGCCGAGATTAGATACTGAAATGTTATGATAGTAGGCCCCGATTAACTGTACAGGAAGTTCCAGTGTACTCCAGAAGTCGCTTAAATTCAGTTCAAAATTTTTCCCTAAAAAGAGTTAGATGAATGGCATGACTCTTGAAAAAAACTATGATATACGGGGGTATGATACCACTGAAATTAGTGCTAATTATTATAAACTATAGCATTTGATAATGCTATAGTGTATTATTATGAATACAATATAGCATTCAACTTCATTTAACTATGCTGCTCACACTGTATGTAGAAACTAAAACTACTGCAATAATTAACGTACATAAAACTACGAGACTTGACTGTTATGCATGTGTTCCACGTTATACGAACCATTTTGTTGACAGGAGTAACGATCTGTATGTACCCTCCATTGTTAATTGACAGATATCAGCACTTGACCGCATCGTATTGTACCTCTTTGGTTTTATATATTTTTGTCCATGTGATGTTTTGTTAACTTAAAAAATGTTAGTTAATGCTTATATTTCTTAATTTATCTTTTCGTGATAATTTTTTATTTTATTTTTATCATATTCATGCACAGTGCCGGCCCGAGGCAAGTTTTAGGATGGAGCGAGATCCTATTACGGCGCCCCCCCTTGGTTGCCCCTAATTTATACCCTTTAATTTTCTTTGCCACTGAGCGCCCCCTAAGGCTTAGCGCCTGGAGCGACTGCTCTGTTCGCCCTATGGTAGGGCCGGCTCTACCATAGGGCGAACTTATACTGATATTATTGCATGAATCATGCAATAATATCAGTATAAGTTCATTCAAGCTATAATAAGTCAACGTGTTATAAATATTCAAGTTGTGACTTTCGGTTCTGACATTTTATATAGTTTTTATTGTAATCGATAACAACTGATAAGATTAATATATTAAATAATAGTTTCGTTTTAAAATATAAATAAAGTTGTCTTATCTGATAATTATCAGATAAGACAACTTTATTAATAATCATTTATATCTTTACTCCGCTGTATAACTGGATCTCTGCTCATCGGAGGTTACATTTACTGAAAGGACTGTACTATACAGCACATAATTATGGAAGATTCTTTAGAGAATGTCTCACGGACTCCACAGTTTCGTAAGTAAAATGTCTTTTGTAGTAAATTACTTTACTAATGTCGGCCTTTTCCATGTTGAAATTTTTCTCCGTTGCGTGTGGCCGCCATGTTGAATCTTTTATTTTGCACAAACGAAATAAATATATTGAAAAATATAAAAACAAAAAAATAATAATATTTCGAAAGTTCGTTTTAATATAAAAATTATGATGCATAGCGACATCTAGTATAAAAAACGTACAGATACTGTAACGAGATATATCAAGTTTAACCCGGCGCGCCGGGTTAAACTTGATATATCTCGTTACAGTATCTGTACGTATATGATCTTCGAACCGCCGCGGCGGTTCAAAGGTCACGACCCCAATGTATGTCGGGAATAACACAGGTGAGAATATGCTCACTCGTGTTATTAAAGAATCTGTTCAATGTCGATTGCTTTTCTCCCTTCTTCAGGATTTTTCGGAAGTACCTGTACAGTAGAGCGTCGTTTATCCGAATCAATTGGGGACTGAGGTTGTTCGGATAACTTATTTTTCGGATAACCGATTATGTACGAAAAAATATATTAACATATCTCGTGTGGAAACTTTTCTCCGTTGCGTGTCGCTTCGCGTTGAATTTTCATCGATGTTAAGCCTAACGTATACTTTTTAAATAATAATCGCTACTATTGTATCGTTAAAAATTATTTCTTTATTTCTTACAAACAAACTAAATATATTGAAAAATTTAAAAACCAAAAAATATAGTCTATACTTTAGAAGATGATCTAGTATAAAAAACGTTCGATTCAGCATGACACACTGTCTTCAGAAAAACACCACACAAAAGAGCCAGTGCTGCTAGCTAAAAAACACACACCAACAAAAAAATATTGGAGTAGCCCAAGATATAGCCAAAGATTGCAGCGCCACAGCACTAGCGAAAATTTAAATTTGCCGACTGGAATGCTTTCGGATAACCGACGTTTCGGATAACCAACTTTCGGATAAACGACGCTCTACTGTAATTAATAGCATTATCATTTAGAGATTTCCACGCTTATTATTCTGAACTTGGTTTGTATGCCATTCTAAGATCGTTATTCTGACATCCTCCTACTACTACAAAAGATCTTTAATAGCAGATATTGGCATTAATCCTGTTTTTCAGAAGAAAACGTATTTCGCCGAGTTTCTTGGTGTTATTCATTCAAGAGTTTTTGGCGTTCTTCTACCGTCAGATCCGTTTCAAATTCCATTGTGAGCTTTTCAATGTTCTTTATTTCTCAGATGTGACTTTGTTACTCCTTTAGCTGCTTGAGTCTTCTTGATTATACTGTATTCTTTTTAGATAAGATTAAACTGTGGCCTACTGTAGACCTATCCACGCCATACTGCCCAGCAACATTAGGCATCTCCTGCCTACTCTCTACCTTTGCTATTATACTCTCTCCTTTCGAAAATAAAAATCGATGCGAAACTTAACGAGTGCCAGCCCGAGGATTCAACGTTAGCCTGGATCCTGAAATATAGTAATCCCGACAGTCTCGCGATTACTATAAAAGAATTGTTTCTGTCAGAAAAATAAAAAGCTGGAATTAGGGAGATTGATTCTGTTAAATCTTCTTGGTTAAAAATCGAAGAGTGGGGAGATAAAAGATGGTTAAGTTATATCTCAAGTAAGGTCAGATTAATGACGATTTTACTGTTTATTATGTTGTCGAGAAAGTAAAGCAACGTTGCTGGATGTTTTACAGTGTTGATACAATGTAGATACGTTCGTATTTGTGACATATCGAATCGTATTTCATTATTCTCTTACTTAGTTGCTCGTCAAATAGACGGGAGGAATTGTCGATCTGCCTACGTATGCCTCTCGGGAGAAAATTCTGTCGAAAAACTGGTTGCAATTTACGCGTGAAGAACACCTAGAATACTCCACGTTGCCATGAGGAGCGATCCCGCGACAATCTTGCAATTTGTTTAGTGGTTTTATTTACTCCACTACAGGCAAACGCTTCAGTTATATAATTAATTAATGTTAATCATAACCTTAAAAGCAGCAAAAGCTGTATGAAGTAAGAAGAAAAGAATAAACTTTAGTACAGTAAAATCTATTGTTATTAGTTAAAGTAAAATCCAGCAACGAGTTGCTTAACATTCCCGGCAATATTTAAAACCGAGAGCGTTGCGCCATTTTTTATGATATTTTATTATTAGAGACTTTTTTATATTTTTAATTATTATAAAATTTCAAAAAGCTTTATTTTGAAGGTTAAGATGGGTTTTATATAAGAAAACTGTAAATTCTAATGAAGCATAAAATCGTCATTAAGTCTGTCCGTATTCGAAATATGTCTATAACATGTCTCGAATACGGTCAGACTCCCTTTATTCCCCTCTCTCGACATTTAATCATTAAAATTTAAACAGAATCAATCCCCCTAATACAGAAACCTACTTGCAAAAACTTCACAAATTTTCGATAATAAGTACAGGAGTTATTAAGCTTCAAAGAAGGTGAACAAAATCCTGCCACACACAAATCCATACATATAGATAAAATCCTCAAATTTTCTACCATTTCTCGATCTTTCAACCTCCCCTGAATTCAAAAATGTAAACATTTTGAGGGTTATTTTATGATCGATCGCCATGCTTTTCCTTTGTTCTATAAAACAGCCGGGAATGTAAAAATCTTTCGGTACCATCTTTATGATGGATTCAACGTTAGCCTGGATCCTGAAATGTATACAAATTTCTGTCGCTACATCAATTGTTTCTACAATTGAAGCTGTAGCTTCAATTGTAGAAACAACGATAACAAGGGGAAAAAAGGCGGCTGGAGCCAAATCAGGTGAATAGTGCGGATGATTCAGCTCAAGAATTCCATGAGTAGCCAGAAACGCCTTCACTACTGGCAACATGGAGGTTTTAGGTCGATCATTACGGGGAGCAAGTTCAAGAGATTCGTTTACTTCACGGAAACGTTCGTACTAATCGTAAACGTACTTTTTTTGCCATTGTTCCGTAAACAGTGTTCAGCTTTTCATGAATTCTTGATGCAGTTTAACCCAACTTAAAGCAGAACTCGATGTTGATTGATTGCTCCATTTCTCGCGAGTGAAAATCGTTGCAAATACAATTCACATAATCATGCACAAACTAGTTTTGTGTATAAGTACGTAAATTGTGCATGCAACTACCACACCAAAACTAGACCCGACTTGCTAGACCAATGTCTGGGCTGAACTCTGCATGTACTGTACAGGGTGGATATAATTACAGTTTGCCCTACTCAAATCTGTATAGAGCCCGTTGTCGTTGACATATTTTGATGAAACTTGGTATATACGTTATATGGACTACGGGAAAAAGGAAAATGAAAAGATTCTATTTAGTTAAATTTTCTACCACTAGATGAAAAAATAGCATGGAAAAAAATTCCTTTGACTCTTGGATGTAGGGGATATCTGAAAAAGCGTGTCTATAGAGAAGGCATACAGATTCTGCTTGAATTGAAATCAAGCATAACAAACCATATTGCTGTAATTCCTCAAGAAACCTATCTGGCTACTGTTGAACACGCTATAAGGCATTTTGAACATGTGATTGACGCAAATGGATTTACATTAGACAAATGTGTGAATAAAAACCTATTGCGATTTTATTGTTCTGCATGCGCCAGTTTTTCACCTAGTGGTAGAAATTTGAACTAAATATTTTGTTTTGCATTTTTCTTATTCCAGTCGTTCATATAACATATACACCAACTTTCATTAAAATACGACAACGAGAACAGACTCTATACACATCCGAGTAAGTCAACTTTAATTATAACCACCCCCACCCTGAAGTTTTACTTTCCAATATCATTCAGCTTAACAATAACATTTCCATTCATCGAATTTCATTGTCATACTTTGTATTTAGAACATTGTTTTTATTTACAGTTATTCAAGAAGAATTAATCAAGAATCTGCGTGAAATAGCGGAAGCAAATGTCAATACGAAGAATACACTTTTTCAGAAGTATGCATTATGGCACAAGAAAACCTGGGAAATTATCCTCAGTTTACTTAATATTCGTGACGAACTGAAAAAGCATTCATTCGGATCAAACTGTGCCAATTTGACAGGTGCCTCTGCTACTATCTTGGGTTCAATTGCCAGCATTGTGGGAATTGCTCTCACGCCAGTCACTGCAGGAATTTCTCTGGCTCTTACAATTGGGGGAATTGCTACTGCCACAACGGGAGGAGTCGTTTCAGCTGGATCCACCATCACCAATTATGTTCTTTCTAAAAACTTATGCGAAAAAGTCAATGAAATATTTAATACACATATCAATTTCACAGAAGAAGTAGAAAGAGCAGCAAATGAATACAGTCAACTTTTGACACAATTCCAAAAGCTGTTAGAGGAATTAGACGAAGAATATTCCCAAATACTGAAATTGTTATTAGACGATTGTATACAACATGTGAATATGAGCACACTAAAATCCTTAGATGATTGGTGTCCAACTCTTTCAAAACTAGAAGAAATGGAGCCGAATAAAGAAATCATGTTGAAAGTACCTCTCATTATTCAATTAGTCAAATATGTTATGGACGATAATAATATGGTGAATATAATCAAAGCTACACCGTTAAAGAATGTATTACAAGCAGGATCTCTTGCAAGTATCACTGAAACAGCAATTTCTGCTGATCGGATCGTAAAATCGATTTCAGAAACAGGAAGATTATTCATGCTTGCTTTGAAAGAGGCAGGACTGGCAGTAAGAATAGGTCTTGGTGTCTTGAATGCCGTATTTGTAATATGGGGTTTATACGATTTGGTTACAACTTCTATTAATATCCACCGAGGATCAGAAACTGAGCAGATTAAAGAAATCGGTAGAGTCGTTAGAAATTTGAAAAAGTACAGGAAAGAAAGTAAATCAAAAGCGGTTGAATTATTTGGACACGAATTAGTAAACACAATGGAAAATTAAGAGTTATTTTAAAAAGTTTTCATTATATCGAACTGTCAATTACGTATATTCTATTCTGAAATATTAATTTACTTTTTTGTATCGAAGAATGAATAATTCGTAACGCCAAAGTTACATAATTTCAGGGAACAAAAAAGAAAAAAAGCCGTAAAAATTTGATTTAGATACGTAAATTTTAATAATATCGTAGTGTTAATTATGTGTATTTTCGGATTTTAATGGGCGAACTTTACGTACAGTTTAAGTCAGTAGGTGATGTTGATGATTTATGAGGTTTTCATTCCACGTCATTATATATGCAATACTTATCAATGTATACGTGGCTTGTATAAATGGTTCCTGATGGAATGAATTCAAAATTACTGAAAAAAAACGATTAAATATATATTGTTTTATCATATAAAAATTATATAAGAATACAAATTTATTGTTTCCTTTTTCTTTATCAGAGGAAATCAATGAAATGAGTTGAGTCATAAGAAAATATAAAAAAAAGACAATGAATAAATTACACGAAACATTTTTGTTTCATTTTTAAATATCACAATTCTTATTTTTGTTAAGTCGTATTACTAATTGTTTGCTTTGATAATGTTTATCATTGATTAATATACTAGCAGATGAGCGGGAAAAATATAACAATGACAAAGATTAAGATTAAAAGTACGAAGTTTCGTATTTCTAACATTTCTATTATATTACATTATAGTACATCATTTATATAACTGCAAAAGTTATCTTACGTAAAGATTTATCACACCTAACACATTTAAAAAGTTCTTTAAATTGTGTACAGTAGAGGAATAAAGAATTATTAAAATGTTAGATTGGTCATTTATTGTGATAAACCCCTGTGTAAAATAACCTTTGTAGTTATATATATCAAATAATATAATAGAGCAAACAGTAAAACAAAAACCATATAAACAGTGTGGTGAGATTAGCCTACCATTGTTACATATATCGTGATACCCGGACGGTACGAAATGACACAATTTCATTCGTCAAGTAGACAACAATTGAAAATACAATATTTTAAACTTTTTCAGGTATATTTTTTCTTAATATTAACTGTACGAAACTGTTCCATTCATAGCCGAATATCAAATGGTAACCTGCCAACCAATCAAATTTTGCAACAAACAAACCAAATATTTAAATTCTGTACTCTAGAAAACCACTTGAAACATATTTTGTGCTCAAAGGTACCTTGTATTACCTTGTAATTTTTTTTATTCGAATGCCATCATACATACTGCTGGTCTGATAACAAGAGACACTGTTGCAGAAGGGAGTTGGAATTTGAAAAAATTGTAGCCTATAAATTCTCACTGTAGTCCCCTTTGTGTCTGCCTAACTTTCCTTCCTTGATCTCGAGAAAGAAGTTAGGGTGTTGAACGTCGAGACAAGATGTGGAAAGAATATGGACCCAGGAGACCAAGGATAATTGTAAGAACTTCTGGTATGAACCGAAACTCACATCACTTTAATTCAAAATTTTACCTGAAAGAAGCTAGCTAGATGACCAACACGACTTTATTGCTAACAGGGAAAAAATGATGTACAGGGGCAAGATCACCACTAGAGAGAACTGTGACATAAAGTTGCAGCCCGGCATTGTGACGATGTCACAATAAATAATCGCTTGTTAGAATTAGTTTGGTTTATTTAGTTACAGCAACGCGACTCGTGAGCAATCTGCCGAAGGGGATGCATCCCGGGAAGACTTTTGTGGTAAACTGGATCCTATTTAGGTTTTACTAACGTAAAAAAAACCCGAAAAACCTTACGTGGTCAGCCCGTTGGCCGTGCCCGAATTCACGACATACTAACCAGAAGTGTTCGGTGGTTTTATCCACTCGGCTATTAGAGGGCTCTTATTACAATTAAAAAAGTTCCGTCCAGAAATAAAAAAAAACCCAAGTTGTTAAATGGATCTAGGTGCATCTCAGCAAATCGAATGTAGATAACAATTAATTAATTTATAGAAATCTAATCGATATTTTGGAATGTAATATAGGACACTATCTAAGTTAGAAGTATTTGAACGTAACTGACGAGTTTCGTAGCAATTAGACACCATCGTCAGCGATTCAGGTGGAGAGTATAGAGGAGTTCGAAGACGTCGCTGCATTTAAATATTTTTCTCATTAAAGCAGGTTGAAAACTTTTGACAATCAAGAAATGAGCTGCTGCAAACGATGTTCCCTAGTTTGTGAAAAAAGCGAAATAATAATACAGTACAGTATTTTTCACAACTTTATTTTCATAAGACGTTTTTAGGAAGAAATAATAACTGAGTATTATTGGCATGGAAAATACAAACTTTTTCACATTAATACTATTTAATCATCTCTTTTCGATTCTTAAAGATACCAGTAGTTAATCGTTAATGTAAATTTTTTTTTTACTCGAAAAGTATGCAAAATTAGCAAAACTAGGTTACCTACAGTATGCACTGTCTACTATAAAAATTTTCACATTTTCGGACCATATATGATAATTATTAAAATGTTGTGTATTAAATCTGTTATAAAATTATTACTTTTGTTAATCAAGACTGTAAGAATAAATACCGATATAACCTTTCGAAAAAATTTGCTTATTTTTTTGCAAAAATAAGCAAAGTTTTTAGTTAGTAAAAAAATTTCGAAAAATATGCACGGAAATATGGTGATATTGAAGTTACCTTCAATATCACCATATTTACGAACTTATTATAATTAATATTGGAGAAGTACACAGAAATGTGAACAAAAGCAACATATATTGTTTTAAAGTTGAAATTAAAAGTATAACTATGGTAAAAGTAACATTGCTTCAGTTTACATCTCTAATATAAATAAAATTCTTTATAGAAAAAGCAAAAGCTTATTACATAAGAAAAATTAATTTATTGAATAAAGTGTACACTGTTTTTGACTGAATTTTACAGTTTGTAAAATTCAGTCAAAGACCAGAAATGTACTTAGCTTCCTCCTCATCAGAAATTTACAATATGAATTAGACAACATTTAATCCTTCAGGACAAGTTTTAGATCCAGCATACGATGTGCAAAAAGGCACGCAACAATTTTTAGGCATAATGTGCCTTTACTATTTAAACCACACAATGAATGTATTTATATCTATATACCAAGCTGCTGTTGAAGAGAAATCCCGTCAACCGTATATAACTCACGAATAAGTATAACTAAATACAACTATAACTATATGTAATTATGTAAATATGTAATTATATAATGAATTCCATGTTGTACGAGTCACTTAGATTTTACAAATACGTGTACCGGGCTGTGAACGGCTCACGTATTTGTAAAATTTAAGTGACTCGTACAACATGGAATTCATATAAAACGGAATAATCAATGATCTTATAGGGGAGTCGACTGTATCTACTTTTGTTGCACTCTCTCCTGTATATAGACTAGAATATTCTAGCTCGTTGGTTTTAGCTGTCAAAGTCGATAGCAAATGTTCATCCACTAATTCCTGTCTCTAACGAGATTTTACCTATTTCGTCTTTCGGAAGGACAAGTGTTGCCAAACACCGATACGGATGGGCAAAAATGCGACTTTACTTGAGCGCGTTGTTGGCTTCAAAGGCGAGACATTTACAGAATTTTATTTTATTTTAGTCTAAAAATTCGTCTCTTATCGCGTTTTTGCACGGAAGATTAATTAGTTTTCTTCGAACCACATCCCGATCTAGTGTTTTCCTGGTTTTCTTCCAAATAGTGACCGATTTCCCATAAAAAGTATTCTCCTGGAGACATCCCTCCCGGTAGTTGTGGAACGCTTTGTTTTTCTTTTCCCACGGTTTTAATCTTTCGCCTATTTTACTATAACATAAAATAAGACTGTAAGAAAAAGACAATTTTTGGAACTTCTAAAATGGGATCCGTTTTCGTTTTTCAACCCAACGAAACGATCAATTCGCCCGCCATCGTGTTACTATCCGAATGGAAAAATTATTTTGTATTTCCGCGAAAATTGCTGTTGGGCTACAATTTAAAAACAAATTGTATACCTACTGTATGAATTTCCACTGTCTGTATGTCGTTCCGTAATCTTGAGAACGGAGTTATATAGACGAAAGTCGAGACCAGATATGGAAACTATACTAGCTGGAGGATCCGAATAACTATGTAAGAATTTACGGTACAATTTTCAGAAAATTTTCATTTTAATTTTCCGAAACGAAGCGTTATTTGTATTCAAAATTATTCATTGAAATGTTTGTCGACGTCTTTTTTAATTAAATGATGTGACGATCTCGATTTAGTCGTATTTTTTCAAAGCGCACTTCGAACAGATCAACGAACGTTTACTCCTCTTATTATTTTCAGGCGTTTTAAGAGTCCGTTTGGTGCGATCTTCTTTTGGCACAGAGCGCATCGAATGGTTTTCGTACAAGCAGAGGTTTTCCTGTTGAAATTTTTGGCAGCCTCTTCGCATACTTTCGAAGTCCGGACAGGAGTCTTGTTTTACCACACGAATGGCAGATGGCAAAATGTGTGGTCATGATTCGATTGTCTCTCTTTTTAAATTTGCGTATTGGAGATTGACACATAGGACAGACTTTCCAGATTTTTCTGGCACTCTCGATACATGTCTTGCAGTAGTGATGGCCGCATGGTTCGATGTAAACATTCAGACAAATAGCGCATTTGACGTGAAAAATATCAAATTCTTCCNCTAGAATATTCTAGCTCGTTGGTTTTAGCTGTCAAAGTCGATAGCAAATGTTCATCCACTAATTCCTGTCTCTAACGAGATTTTACCTATTTCGTCTTTCGGAAGGACAAGTGTTGCCAAACACCGATACGGATGGGCAAAAATGCGACTTTACTTGAGCGCGTTGTTGGCTTCAAAGGCGAGACATTTACAGAATTTTATTTTATTTTAGTCTAAAAATTCGTCTCTTATCGCGTTTTTGCACGGAAGATTAATTAGTTTTCTTCGAACCACATCCCGATCTAGTGTTTTCCTGGTTTTCTTCCAAATAGTGACCGATTTCCCATAAAAAGTATTCTCCTGGAGACATCCCTCCCGGTAGTTGTGGAACGCTTTGTTTTTCTTTTCCCACGGTTTTAATCTTTCGCCTATTTTACTATAACATAAAATAAGACTGTAAGAAAAAGACAATTTTTGGAACTACTAAAATGGGATCCGTTTTCGTTTTTCAACCCAACGAAACGATCAATTCGCCCGCCATCGTGTTACTATCCGAATGGAAAAATTATTTTGTATTTCCGCGAAAATTGCTGTTGGGCTACAATTTAAAAACAAATTGTATACCTACTGTATGAATTTCCACTGTCTGTATGTCGTTCCGTAATCTTGAGAACGGAGTTATATAGACGAAAGTCGAGACCAGATATGGAAACTATACTAGCTGGAGGATCCGAATAACTATGTAAGAATTTACGGTACAATTTTCAGAAAATTTTCATTTTAATTTTCCGAAACGAAGCGTTATTTGTATTCAAAATTATTCATTGAAATGTTTGTCGACGTCTTTTTTAATTAAATGATGTGACGATCTCGATTTAGTCGTATTTTTTCAAAGCGCACTTCGAACAGATCAACGAACGTTTACTCCTCTTATTATTTTCAGGCGCTTTAAGAGTCCGTTTGGTGCGATCTTCTTTTGGCACAGAGCGCATCGAATGGTTTTCGTACAAGCAGAGGTTTTCCTGTTGAAATTTTTGGCAGCCTCTTCGCATACTTTCGAAGTCCGGACAGGAGTCTTGTTTTACCACACGAATGGCAGATGGCAAAATGTGTGGTCATGATTCGATTGTCTCTCTTTTTAAATTTGCGTATTGGAGATTGACACATAGGACAGACTTTCCAGATTTTTCTGGCACTCTCGATACATGTCTTGCAGTAGTGATGGCCGCATGGTTCGATGTAAACATTCAGACAAATAGCGCATTTGACGTGAAAAATATCAAATTCTTGCTCTGCCATTCTTGATGTGGTTTCCTAACAATTAGCCAAATATTATTATTGTATAATACAAATTGTTTAGATTGTTTATTCGTTAAATTATTTCGTATTTCAATCATTATATAAATTAATTTAGATGTTGTATTTATTAAATTTATACAAGTAAAGGTTTATCGTGTCGAAGAGATCCTATTAAATCCCGTTTAGTCTAATAACGCTAACAAAATTTTGTATAAACCGCCATTTTTCTGGCGGTGAAGACAAACCTAAAATATTTTTTACGAGGAAATTTTTCGACTTTAGCGACCATTTTGGCGGCTAAATAAATTTATCGGTAGGGCCAGATAGTGCGTGACTTGCTTCAACTTTCAAGATACAAGACAATGAATCGCATAAGACGACGGCCGGATGGTCGAGCGTCAAGATGGCAGCCTACTGCTCTGGCGGGTCGAGCATGAGGAATTGTTATCATTTTGTAAAAATATTTAATAAAATTAAACTAAAACTGAAAAATTAAAAAGTCGATAAAAGAAATAAATATAGCTGATTAAACTGTCAAAAAACAGTATAACAATAACTGTATGACAAACATCTCTGTATGAATTATTACACTTCTTTTTATCAGTAACTGTCAATCAATAAAAAATTATATTTATCTGACGTCTAGCAGTCCTGGGAATGACTATTATTTAGTAGTTTAAAGACTGATAGAAGTTAATATTTGCAGGTTTACAAATTCTTACAAATTAGTCATTAAACTTGGGGGCATTTAACAATTGTCTAGTATATAATGGAATGAAATTAGTATCACCCCCTGTGGATTGCCTGTTAAGAAAAAATATTCCTCAACTCCGCTTTTGTATAAAACGTTTAAATAATAAGGAGACATACGTGAACTATTCACGTATAATCTATGATAATTTTAAAAAAAAAGTTAACAGAACGTTTTCATTAACTGGTACACCTACTCATTAAACAAAGGTAAATGGTCGGTATCTTCGTCCATACGAATAAGAAAATTGAAGATTTATCCAGTCTCGTAATCTGCCAGCATATACAAACAATTCGACGGTTGACAATTATCAACTGGATTGCCATTCGATTTAACACGAACGTTCGAAAGGATAAAATAACGTTTAAAAGAATTTCTAATGTTATTTGTTATTTGAGAATTTTATAAAATTTGTCTGACGTTTAGACTAATCAGAAAAATTGTAACATTTCCGTCAGCATAAAAAAGCCATTTCACTTAATTGTTTCGTCAAGACAAGAGTTCAATAATCAGACAAAAAGTCCAATCTTACTGCGCTAACATAATATACAGGGTGTCCCAAAAGTTTCCATACATACAAAGGTGAAATGTAATTTTATTCGCAAAACATTAAAATGTCAGCATTAAGATTTGTGTCAGTGGATTGACGGTGTAAGGCAACGGAAGACATGGATGATTTGACAATGGGGTAACTTCTAGCAGGACTTCCTATGTGAAAACTGGATTCTGTTTAGGTGTTATACACACGAAGAAAACCCCGAACACTGCATGGTGGCCAGCCCATTGGTCAGGTACGAACCAATGACCAACTACTAGTATTCAATGGTTTTATTTATTTGGCTACTGGTGGGCTTGATTTATGTCATTCTATGAAGACTTTTGAACACCCTGTATACAGCTAAAATCAGCATTACAACGTTTATGTTTCTTTCCATTCACACATGTTTTCACAAAGTATATTTTCTTTTTTCGGGTATTGATAATCGCGATAAGTTTCATTGACTATCAAATTAACAGTTTCTCCAATTCGCTCTTATTTATAGGCGTCGTTGTTGTTCCCGAACCGCTTCTATCAATTACGAAATATTTTGCAACGGAAAAAGAAGTCTTGCTGGATTTAAAAAATCCAGCAAGACTAGAGATTAGAGAATCCACAAGATTAAAACGAATTATTTAAAATTGTTTTACTATTACAGTATATAATTTTCAGACTAATTTTTTCATCTTATTTAAGTGGACATTAAATTCACGATATTACAAATTGCAATGTTAATAAATTGTATCGGATTTCATAAAGTACGAGTACAATTTTCTGCATGTTTATTAATACTGAGTATGAAATAATACACTCTATCAAAAGAGAATATATACAACGACGACGTATACAAAAATTCTTGTTCGACAACGGCATAAATCGTACGAATTTTTAACAGAATATATATTGGCATACAATAAACATTATCAAATCAAATATACGGTAAATTATTAATACAAATAATAATTGTGTTATTTGAAAATGAAAAAATACTTTCTCGTGTAATTTATTCACTGCTTTCTCCAATTATTTCTTATAACACAAATCTCTTCCGTGATTTTCATTCACGAAAGACATCTTCGTGATTTATGAAGACATCTTCGATGTCTTCATAAATCACGAAATTACATAATGAAATCTTTGTTAATAACTTAAGTTTCGAGTGACGCAACTAATTCGTGTCCAAATAATTCAACCGCTTTTGATTTAGTTTCTTTCCTGTACTTTTTCAAATTTCTAACGACTCTACCGATTTCTTTAATCTGCTCAGTTTCTGATCCTCGGTGGATATTAATAGAAGTTGTAACCAAATCGTATAAACCCCATATTACAAATACGGCATTCAAGACACCAAGACCTATTCTTACTGCCAGTCCTGCCTCTTTCAAAGCAAGCATGAATAATCTTCCTGTTTCTGAAACCGATTTTACGATCCGATCAGCAGAAATTGCTGTTTCAGTGATACTTGCAAGAGATCCTGCTTGTAATACATTCTTTAACGGTATAGCTTTGATTATATTCACCATATTATTATCGTCCATAACATATTTGACTAATTGAATAATGAGAGGTACTTTCAACATGATTTCTTTATTCGGCGCCATTTCTTCTAGTTTTGAAAGAGTTGGACACCAATCATCTAAGGATTTTAGTGTGCTCATATTCACATGTTGTATACAATCGTCTAATAACAATTTCAGTATTTGGGAATGTTCTTCGTCTAATTCCTCTAACAGCTTTTGGAACTGTGTCAAAAGTTGACTGTATTCATTTACTGCTCTTTCTACTTCTTCTGTGAAATTGATATGTGTATTAAATATTTCATTGACTTTTTCGCATAAGTTTTTAGAAAGAACATAATTGGTGATGGTGGATCCAGCTGAAACGACTCCTCCCGTTGTGGCAGTAGCAATTCCACCAATTGTAAGAGCCAGAGAAGTTCCTGCAGTAATTGGCATGAGAGCAAATCCCACAATGCTGGCAATTGAACCCAAGATAGTAGCAGAGGTACCTGTCAAATTGGTACAGTTTGATCCGAACGAATGCTTCCTCAATTCCTCACGAATGTTAAGTAGACTGAGGATAATTTCCCAGGTTTTCTTGTGCCATAATGCATACTTCTGATAAAGTGTATTCTTCGTATTGATATTTGTTTCCACTATTTCAATCAAGTTCTTGAACAATTCTTCTTGTATATCTGTAAAAAACACAAAATGTTGTAAGTAAACTTTAACATAAGATTAAATCCATATATCTTATTTTTCGAATGTGAATTTATTTGAAGAAACTGTTATAAGAAAACTTAAATTTGAAAGCAATTTAATAATGATTAATTACAGTATAACTTATATTACAAACAGCTAAGTTCGCTAAGCAAACTAATATGTAGTCTGTCTTGTGAAATTGACGTAGTCAATGAGTAGTATGATTTAATTCGGTTTAGATCAGGGGTGTCCAACTCGCGGCCCAAGGCAAGTTCCAACGCGGCCCAATAAACGTGTAAACAAAACCGACAGATTCTTTTATTTTAGATAATTATTTTTTTTATTTCAACGACACAAATTCAAAAAAGACATTTCACAAAGCCGTAAACCATTATACATATTTTAATTTTGAGTGGAAAGGAAATATTTTCAAATACCTGGAAATGTGTGAATGTGGAAGGTATATTAAATAAAGGTGAAGTTGTGACTCAAATGAGTCAAGACTGAAATTCGGGGAAAAGAGAGAAAGGCCAAAAAATAAAAAAGCAGTGAGAAAAGTTAAATATACTTTCTGTTATGAAAAATATTGAAACATTAAGTTTCCAACCTTCCTCACTTCTTTATTTTTCGCCCTTACTCTCTTTTTCCGTGCTTTTGGGGTCTATAATTTTTTGAGTCCCAACTTCTGCTTTATTTAGTACTTCTTCCAGCGTTGCAAGATTTGGCTACTTTGTGCCAAATTTGGCTAACCTTTTATTATTAAATATGTAAATTTTTCGACTATAAATTCGACTTTCATCTATTATCAGGACTTATTATACTGGTTTTACAGATAATATTACATAGATTAACAGAAAACAATTTTTATTTTATTTCGTATACCTAAACACATACACAATTTTGTGTTTCGGACATATTCCTCCCTCCTCAGCAGGTATTTAAATATGTTCTATAAACAATAAAAAATTAAAATTTACATTTTAAAATTTTTCCCGACAAAAATATTCAATAAAAATTCTTACAATATTCCAGTTTTCTTTAATTTCTTGCTCCACTGTATATTCAAATTTTATCAACAATATCGCAATTACTATTATTTTAAACCTACATTAAAACAAAATTCTATTACATTATATCAATTTTATACATTTATTTTCTGTTATTACAACTTACATTTGTTCTCTTTCTGTTTGTTTCACACCTCGTTTCCATTTCTTTCCATCGTTCTTATCATCTTTTGGACACATTCCTTTTTCTATAAATCTTAACCATGATTGGTGGATTTCTCTGCCATTATTGCTGTTTATTCTATTATTTTGTCTGATTATATACATATGTTCATAAAGCTGTGTTTTGTAATTATTCTTCTCTTTTTTCTTTATTTTTACGGAATTCAATACAATTTCACAACCTGTATTATTACAATGCTCTGCGACTACTGAATTTGCATAATTTCTCTTGATTGCACGGATGTGTTCATTTATTCTTATTTTTAGTTTCCTTTTTGTTTCTCCTATATATATTTTTTCTGGTTTACAACTGCAATTAAATGAATATACAACTCCTTTTTCTTCTAATATATCGTAATTTCC